ACGCTCATGAAGTGTACTACACTTGAACAAATTGCAATATGACCAATTCTCGAATGTAACTAGAGTGTAAAACTACACCAGCTTTAAAAACCGTAACCCTCTTGTTTACCTCCTTTAATCTGTCATAAAAAGCACTGTACATGTTACTTCCAGTAGCAGTTTGTCCTCCCAGAGCCGCAATCTCATCCTTCCGCACCCCGTCTTTATCTTCATAGATATCGACCTGGCCATCAACAACACAGACGATTCGCTTAACTAAACTATTGTCAATAACCTAGACAACGAAATAGAAATATTGAACAGAAAACGGATATGAAAACTACAAGTCTGTGCGTGGTGTCAATGATTCTCTCAATAACGTTGCGAACGGGGTGGCTCTGGTAGAGGCGGTCCTTATTGGTGGCCGGCTCGGTCTGGAGATCCTTAACGATGACCCGCTCGAGCCGCTCTATCTCCTCGTGTGACGCGCGGGTTACCTCAAGTAGCGTCGACGACATACCTCTCCTCCGGCTTAGTCACCGCTTCTCTCTGGTGGCGTGGAGACCGAGTCCTCGCGAGAAATTCTATGTCTTCAAGGTGTTTGTCTCGGACTTCCAGCCTCAATTCACTCCCTTCTCCAAAGTTTGCTAGGGCTAGGAAGGTTTTGGGGAAATTTTGGAGGAGGTCTAGAAAGAGGACGACAAAGACGAAGTCTAGGATAATTAGGTAGTACCGAGTACTCCTTAATTTTTATAAACGAGGATTTAAGGCATTATTTTTTAACGGTAAAAAAGAGGTAAAAAAGAGCTCGATATTAGAAGAAATAAGAAAAAATCGAAAGAAACTAAAAAAAATTAAAAGAAACTAGAAGAAACGGGAATGACCTGGAAAAAACTGAACGAAACTGGAAAAAACTGGAAGGAACTAGAAGAATCTTGAAAAAACTAGAAAACCTAAAAAAACTTTTAAAATATTTATTTTAAACTCTTGTTGTTATAAATTATTATTATTATTATTATTATTATTATTATTATTATTATTATTATTATTATTATTATTATTATTATTATTATTATTATTATTATTATACTATGTACAAATGTCTTTTGATGTTCTCCATGTCTAAGTTAGACCTTTGCTTTTCTCATTTGTAAGCCTATAAATAGAGGCTCCATATGTTGAAATGTACTCTCTCATTGCATTTCTTCTCCTTTGATTCTCCATTGCACTTTGTCCTTGCATTTGTGTTATCAAGGTATATCTCCATTGCACTTTGTTCTATCATTTTGTTCATAACAATATTTGTATAATCTTTATTTCTAACACGTTATCAGCACGATACTCTAAAAATTCTATTTTTCTAGAAATTACTCCTCTTCATATCTTGTCCTTGTTCATATTCATGTTATAGATATATACATATACATATACACTAATTTACTTTAGTTTTTCAAGTGTACTTGTAGATATATTGAATCTAAAACTCCTAAATATATTGGAGAATTGGCATGTGAAGCCTACATAAGGTGTAAAAATTGATGGTTATATATAAAACTCAACCTGAAGCTTGAGTACATATTATGTCGGGAAAAATATCATTCCTTCAGTTTTTTTCTCTTTTGGCTAGTGAACTTGAAGTTCATATTCTGAGCATTAATATGAAAACTCAAACCTGAAGATTTAAGTATGCCACATGCATGAATATGTGTGTGTGTGTGATATTATTATTTATAATGCAACAATGAAATAATAATAATAGTAATATTAATATTATAGACTTATTATTTGTGATTATGTAATGTGCTCTAATTTATCATTATGTCCATAGTTTTGCTCTAATTGTAACCTCCAGTATAATAATAATGATAATGCATAATAAATAATAATAATAATAATAATTGAGACCCTTCTAATACCTAAGCCGTTTTTTTATAAAAAACCTATTATTCAATCAATACACATTAATTGATTGATTTTTCACAATAAAAATAAAAGAAAATTAATCTACTAATTTGCTATATGTGTATATGTGCGTTTTAAAAAAATGTACGAATAGAATTATTTGATAAATAAAATTGTCTTGTATGGTGCAATTTACATATACATTTGTTTTTTTCAACTAGTAGATTTTGGTAATGAATTGCAAAAAAAAACATGAAATATATGACTAAAGGTTTGGATCAACGAGCCCACATGGTTCTAAATAATAATAATTTATAATTTATTTTCAGTAATGGGTAACCTCACCAAGCTTGAATTTGCTGCCCTTGACATTTCCGGAAAGAACTATTTGACATGGGTTCTTGATGTTGAGATTCATTTGAATGCAATGAATCTTGGAAATGCTATTAAGGAAAATGGTGGGGCTAGCGAACAAGAAAAAGCAAAGGCAATGATTTTAATACGCAATCATCTTCATGAAGGCCTGAAGTCCGAATATATTGGGGTCAAAGACCCCTGCGACTCTTTGGAGTGACTTGGAGGAGAGATACAACCATCTAAAAAGTGTGATACTTCCAAAGGCTCGTTATGATTGGATGCAACTGAGGTTCCAAGATTTCAAAATGGTAAATGAGTATAATTCTGCCATGTTTAGGATTGTATATCAATTAAGGTTGTGTGGAGACACCGTCATTGATGCTGATATGTTAGAGAAAACATTTACCACTTTTCACGCCTCTAACATGCTCTTGCAGCAGCAGTATCGAGAAATAGGATTTACTAAGTATTCTCAACTTATCTCTTGTCTCCTTGTTGCTGAACAAAATAATGATCTTCTCATGAAAAATCATAACTCTCGCCCTACTGGCTCTCAACCATTCCCTACAGTGAATGCAATTAATTAATTCCTAGAAGCGAATGCTAATTTCCGTGGACGAGGGCGTGCTCGTGGTCGCGGTCGTGGCTGTGGTTTCGGTCGTGGTTATGGGCGGGGTCGAGGAGGATTCAACAACAATGTTTTTAGTAAGAAATCTATACCAAACCACTCGAAGTGGGAAAATAATGACCAAAAACAAGAAAAGGGGAAGATCGTTAAAGGTGATGCTTCAAAACAAAGGGATGAAATTTGTTACCGATGTGGAGTGAAAGGTCATTGGTCTCGTACTTGTCGTACACCAAAGCACCTTGTTGATCTCTATCTAGCATCTACCAAAGGAAAGGAAAAAGGAAAAGAGATAAATTTTGTTGATTTTGACGACGACTTTGATACTACAATTGAGCCGATGGAAGCAACTCATTTTGATGTGGATGATTTTCTGATTGAGCCAAGTCGTGATATTAATGGAGCTGAATATTATGGTGGTGATCCTTCAGTTAGCCAAAATAAGATTAAG